CAAATTCTTCTTGTATTTAAAGATAATTTCAACTTAATGTTTCAAATTTAAATACTTTTAGATTTTAAAAGATTATGATGCATAAATTGAGAAGGCAATATTGCTTAGCAAGGTTTTAAACAGAAATACGTTTGATTTTGACTCTATTTTGGAAATTGGACCATGTTAGATGTCAGGTTCTTGTCAAAACATGCAAGTCCCTCTACCATTAATTTTCCCCTGGGTATAACTTTTTAGAGATAACATGTGATCAATTTTGATTAACATTTAATTTAATTTTATGATATATGATCATATTTAGTCATTGTTGACTGAGAACATACATACAAGACAAGATCCCGCCGATCTATATAGTGAACTTTTTGTAAATTCAAGCAGGAGAGGCAAGGTGCCTTGCATGAATGCGTAATCACTTGAAACATTGCTCTTCAATTCCAATTAATACTTCTATAATAACAATTATATTATGTATTTCTTAAGAGAATTTTTTTTAATCCAAACTGCATTCTTCAGTCGGATTACAAAATTATAAAAACACCCTAAAGAAATCAAAACAAAAAGAAGAATCATCGAGAGGATTTAAATCATTGCCCAAACTGCACTTTTCTTGGGCAAATCGAAATAGAAGAACAACTTGCAAAATATGGATGCTTTCCAAAAACTAACTTAAAAAACAAAGCAGCAAAAAAAAAACTAAAGGGGTGGTTAAGCTTTTATTATATTGTTGCTTGCTCTTAGTTCCTCAGCCCCCCCTGCATCCTCGGCCCGGAATACACCTGATAGGTTCTCCACGACCAGTAGTTCTAGGATAGGCTGGATAGCAACTCTTCGTAGGTTTATTATTTCCGTTGAGTGCAGCATAATTACTACAAACTTCAGCGCTCCCTGAATTAAATGGAGAATTTTGGTGAGCCGCGGGTGGATTCTTCTGCCCTTGACTTGGAGCAGTAGGTGATGAATGCTTAGAATTTTGGCCTTTGCTCTGTTCATTGCCACCTTGGGAACATATACACATACAGCCGCAACCACAAAACTATTCAGTAAGAAAGGTTATTGATAAATTTTAATTAATTCCATAAATAAGGAAAGAGACAGCTTACTTTGAACTCCAGCTATGAAGAGGATTGATGCCACAAGAAAGCAGAAAATAATAAGAGAACATCGGTCCATTTTTGGCATGTAAGATTTTTTACTTCGGTACCATCCGTTACGGGTATATATATAGTTCTAGCAACGTCTAATGCGCGCGGGGAAGTTTGACCCAACTAACACGGTTAGGGTTGGAACATGTTGATGCCCCACACGAACTACTTAACTTTTTGCTGTTCGAAAGAAGAAAAGAAACTAATTATGTTTGTGATACGTTAATAAAAGCAAAAGTGATTTTTGTTTTTTGACTGGGTACGAAGAGCATGTTGATCAGATTGGAAATGTTTCATGGCTACTGTAGAGTTAATTTGGACCAAGTCATACTCAGATCAAACGTATGAACACATGAATTTTCCAAATATGGTGTGAGGGTCAAAGCAATTCAGTTTTTTTTTTTTTTCCCTAATTGTGGCTATGGGACGCCTTTGTGTGGTCGGTGTGGCTGGCCCGAAACCAAAAGCTATTTCAAGGCAAAGAGATTGATGCGGGGAAGATATTTGAGCTCATCCAGTTGAGGTCCTTCTTATGGATTAAAGCAAAAAATGACAGGTATGATTTTAATCTTGTGAACTGGTTAATGAATCCAGTTGCATGCTTGAAAGATTGCCATAGTAAAAGAAGGGTGCCAATCAAATAGCTGCGGGACCAGGATGTTCTCGTTTTGTGTTTTTTTGACTAATGTAAGATGGGATGATCAATGTTTTAAGGGTTGAGTACCCCTTGTACTCATTTTAATATATTATTAAGATTGTTTGCTGTTCAAAAAAAAAAAAATTGTGGCTATGGGACATGCATGCAAAACAAGATGGCTTAACTAATCAAGGCTTGAGCAACAACAATTCGTTGCCCACATAGGACTTTATACAGTATGAAATGTTAGGTTGGGCCAAAAACTGCATAGGAACTAGAAAGGTTAAATGCTAAATTTGGTCCCTCAACTTTAGTCAGTTGCACATTCTTGGTCCTTCAACAATTTTTTGCACTTTTTTTATCCCTCAACTATACGAAATGCACTCCGTTAGTGCTTCTGTCAATTTTCGCCGTTAACTCAGCCACATGGCATTTTTTGTATTTTTTTTATGACATGGCAAAAATAACTTAAAAAGGCGTTGATTTGGACTTTTTTTACGACATGTCATCTTCCTTTCTCATCTTCACTCTCTGCAAAATCAATCTCTACTCCATCTGCAGAATCAATCTCCACTCCATCTCTAGAATCAATCTTAATCCATTTCTTCTTCTTGTCTTAATGCTCTCTCATCTCCACTCTTCTACAAAACCAATCTTAACCCATTTCTTCTTCTTCTCTTTTCTCAAGAGAACTTGAGAAACAGAACCCAGCTACTGGGTTTCATTGAAGCCTCAAACTTAATAGATCTTATCAAATCAAATTAACCCTTCAATAAACAATATCAATCAAACTCTAATCAAATTCCAACAAAAATACAATCAAATTGTAAATCAACTCTCAAATTTATTAACAACTGGAAATGAAAATCAAAAGAAGAATGAAAAAACATGAATCCAGCATCGAAACAGCAAAGTTGGGTTCATCGAAACCCAGCTGGGTCTCGTTGGAACCCAACAAGGGAGACCCAGCCAGGCTGGGTTCGACAAGACCTAGCAGGCTGGGTTCGTCGCAGCCATGGAATCCAGCCTGGTGGAGACCCAGGGCAGGAAAGAAAGAAGGGGAAGAAGAGGGATTGGGTGGGTGAGGGTAGTTAGGTAAATTTATTTGTTTTTATTTAAACTATAAATATTAATCTACGTGTTACTTTTATTTATTTATATAACATAATTAAAATATATATTATTGCCACATCATCAAAAAAATTAAAAGATAATTCCACATGAAATTATTTAATTGCCACCTTATACTTAACTGACGGAGGGACCAAAACTGTGTAATTTTTAGAGTCGAGGGATAAAAAAAATGCAAAAAATTATTGATGAATAAAAAATGTGCGTTTCTTAAAGTTGAGGGACTAAATTTAGCATTTAACCGAACTAGAAACGCATAGAATGTCATGTACCCACAGAGTACATAACAAATGAGATGTTGTGGCTAAAATGGAAAATAGTAGGGATTTAGCAAGGATTTTTTGAGTTGAAAGACTTAATCGAGCATCCATACAATACAATAACTGAGAGACTAAACTAGGGGTTTAACCATGAATTAATTAACTTGTTTTAAGTGTAAATAAAATTTTATTTTGGTACATCAAGTGCAAATGAGATGTTTACATGTTTTTTTAGTTCTTATAAAAGTTTCAAAAAATTAAAATTGATTACCTGAATAATCACGATCATATCAGTTACATTTTTTTTTTTAAACGTAAGGGATGAGACTCAAACTTCACACCTATCAAACTTAATATAAAAAATCCTTTACAGAAGAGAGGCGGCCACTAAATCATGAGGACATTCTCATATCGACTATGATTTTTAAAGCAGCTTTAGCTAAAAAAGACAGAGAAGTTGATGACACAAACTTCTCCCAACTGACACAGTCTAAAAAGACTCAGAACAAAACTTAAGTCATACCTCCCACATTCTAGCTTAAGTACCAAAAGAAGAAGTCTCTTTTACATCCTAAATTCCATAATACTTGTAGACAATCATTGGGTAATGCTACGACCATATGATATATTTTTTTGATTAAAAAGATATTAATTAGAACTGTAAAACTATAAGATTAATTACAACTTTAGAAATAAATCAAGTATCATAGATGGTTAAATTATCATATTAAAATGTTAAAGTATTATAGTATACAAAGTGCAGGATTTTGGCATGGCACATGTGATAGAAACCAAAAATCATATTAGCCCTCAAATACCCAAAACATTGAATCTAGGATTTTGGATAACATGATAAAATATTTTTCAAAAATATCTTTCAAAGTTTTCAATAACAAAAAAGATCTTTCATGAAATATTACCAAATACCATTTAACTATAAAAGTAATAATAGTTTGTCTGATATCAAAAATTCAAATGACACGGGTTATATCCTTCCAAACTTTAATTTATTTGATTGACTTTCAATATTAATAAAAATTCTTCCAAAAAAAAAAAAGATTAACTAAGTTGGGAAATAGCAACAGAGTATAACTCCAATGAAATGTATCAATCAGTTCTTCAGTTTCCTAAATTTGCAAATATCAATCAACCAAACACGGATTTATAAACTTATAAGAAAATGTTAAGCAGAAGCTATTAATTAGCACAGACAATTTAATGCCATGAGGAAACTTCAAACATTAATTTGTGCCCTGACAGTTGGCCCCGAAGTCAAGACAGTGAAAAACATAGCAATGTCATGCTTGAAACTTTAAGTAAAGCAAGTTAAAATAACAACTACATATGAACCTTGTGTACTTCTACAAAAGAGGGGAAAAAAAAAACCAAACAAACTCCTGTAAGAAACTTTTTCTCAAGTTTCTTTGAAGGGTCACTTAGTTTGATACTTGAACTAGCTTAATTAAGTTAATGAGAATTTAAAAAAAAAAAAAAAAAAAAAAACTCCCTTAGAAACCTTTTCCAAATTTTTTAGTATTACCATTGTTCACAAAACGTTAGTGGAAAATATAAATCATTTAGAAGTTGGGAAGCATTAGCTATATGAAATCTTGGTTCAGGATGGGCTTTAGATTTAAAACCTGATATATATACTTATCCTATTTCAGTTCTGTTGTGGATTTTCTTATATTTAGAGGTATTGAGAATTATAATTTTGGTCATTGGCGCAAGTTGTTAGGGAAATTTGGATTAATTTTACCGACCAGTAGCTTCTTCTTCCTGTTATTATTTTGGATTGGGGATTTTAAATGTTTCATAGTGGTACTGCTGACTCTTGGTTCAGCCTTTGAAAAGTGGGATGCTTAGTACCTCAAAGAAGAAAGCTTTGTGATTGAAATACAAATGGTGAAAGTAATTATGCATGTGGGCTTAACATAAGATTTGCATTCAACCTAAAACCAATTGACAATAGATGGAGTAACCTTCCTTGCATTCCTTGTATTTAACTTGCAAGTTTCTTACTTTTACTTTTATACTTGATGTGAGATTTTTCTCGCTCAACAGTATGTTAATTTAGCTACTAGGCATTTCAATAAAAACAGTGCCAATTTTTACTCTGTTTGAAAACACTTCTTGGTATTTTAACTTTTAATTTTTATATTTTT